ATTATATTTTGCTATTTGAATTTCATTTTGAACCCCTGGAGTGTTTTATGATCACTCTGAATGATGCTGGTATGTGTTAATAACGAAGTTAGAAATATTAGCTGCCACCTACCCTTAATAAATTCGCCGTAACTCACTCCCTGAAATGTGTGTGAGAAGTGGGAGGTACTCTGAACGATCCAATTTACTACGGGACGGAGATTTTTTGTATTTTTTAAATATATCTATGAAAAAAAAACTTTTGTTAAAATCTAGCCGTTATTGTTATGGAATATATGATTAAGTTAAGACAAATGTATACAAACTGCTGTGCAAAGTATGCATGACACTGATTCATTCGTTTAAGAGATATTTGAGAATAATTTTTACCACACTATAAAATATTGCGTAATGAAATCGGTTCTGTCTTTTTTAAAATAAATCTGTATAATAAATCTTTGCAGTTTATGCATGTTGCTTAGTAGCATAGGAAAGAGCTTGAAATTAAATCTTCAGCCAAAATAAATCCTATCAGAACTATCAGAGTATCTCAAATATAATTCTAACCTGTATTTTTCTTGGTAATTTTCAGGTTGAGTCGTCAAAATTGGTTCAGATATTTATATTATGGCCGTATGCCCAAGGCTTACTGGGTTCATAAGTATTAATGTCTTCAGATTGGCGTAAATGGAGTTGAAATCTTTAGCGGTAATCGGCTTTCACCTTTTTCAAATTCTTCAATATTAACACTAACACGGCCGCTCATGCCCCTGAGCCTGCGTACACACACACACACACACACACACACACACACACACACACACACACACACACACACACACACAAACACACACACACACACACAGACACACACACAAACACAAACACACATAATACTTATATACACTTACACACACGCGCGCACACACCCACGGATATTAATACGTAAAAATCACACACAAATACTCTGGCACGTACAAATACACCCAAGCCCAAAGGGTGACAGATAGATAGATAGATAGATAGATAGATAGATAGATAGATAGATAGATAGATAGATATAAACAGGCACTAGGAACCAGAGAGATAGAGGAAGGGAGAGAGACAGTAATAAATAAGGTAGATTGGGGAGGGGGTGGTCTTTCCTTGTTATTTATTTGGCCGGGTGGGCTATAATATACCTGTCGATTTGAGAAACATAAAAACGTATAAATGAAATCTTGAAAGTCAGCGTTATTGGCTCTCGGACAGGATCGCAATTGTTATGGTAAAGAGCTACGAAATTGCTGGTAAAAGTGTCCCTGTGAAATAGCTCGTTGAATCCATTAACATTCTGAGAAGCCGCTTTCACCAGGATGCGAGGAAATAAAACTTTAAAGCTATTTCCACAGCATATGATCACGACAGGCAGTCTGGAGACCAGCGATATTGAACACTGTGAGATTTATTGGACTGCGTTATATTGCAAAGTGCATGTGGAGACAAAACAAAACGATTCTGAAGGCGTGAAACCAAATAAGTATTGCTGGAATCTGGACTTTAAAAGAGAAAATAAGAGAAAATGCCTCATTCACTTGAAGCAATCTATAGGTGTTTTTGTTGTTTACTGCCTGTTATGTAATATTTGATTTTAATTAAAGAAGAGAATAAAACAAGCTAGAATTTGTAGTATAAAGTTGAAATTAGGTGCAGAAATGATAAAGATCAGTTCACTTTACACAATTTTGAGTAACTGTTAAACCAAGATTTACAAACGAAATGTAATCAATCATGGCATTATCCATTTATTGTTAGTATTCACCGAAAACCGGTGGCATTCCACATTTTGAAATCTACTCGTAACGTACTAAAAGAAGATGACGATGACACATACGATGATGTGTGATCCGTTCCCTCCAAAATCAATTACGATATAAAGAAGTAAGACTTCATCGACATACAAACACACACACACACACACATACACAATCATGCACACACACACACACACACACACA